TAGGTGCCACAGGATGTCTCATACATAAGGCCACTTCTCCAAGTTGGGGAACTGTAACTGACCTGTCTAATATATGGAAATAAACATAGAGAATTAGGCAAAATGAGGAGAAAGAGGACTATGTTCCAGACAAAGGAACAAGACAAAATCCTGGAAGAAGAACTAAGCAAAGAGTAGATAAGCCTCCTACCTGATAGAGTTCAAGGTGATGCTCATAAAGATACTCAGTGAAATCAGGAAAAGAATGGACGAATACAGTGAGAAGTTTAACAAAGAGTTAAAAAATATAAAGAAGAACCAAAGAACTGAAGAATACAGTAACTGAAATAAAAAATACACTAGAAGGAATCAACAGTAGATTAGATGATGCAGAAGAAGAGTGAACTGGAGGACAAAGTAGTAGGAATCACCCAAGCTGAGTAGAAAAAAGAAAAAGGAATTTTAAGAAATGAAGATAGTTTACGAGAACTAACATTCACATTATAGGGGTCCCAGAAGGGGAAGAGAGAGAAAAGGGGGCAGAGAATTTATTTGAAAAAATAATAGCTGAAAACTTCCCTTACTTGGGGAAGGAAACACATATCCAGGTCTAGGAAGCACAAAGAGTCCCAAACAAGACGAACCCAAAGAGGTCTGCACCAAGACACACTGTAATTAAAATGGCAAAAATTAAAGACAGAAGATCTTAAAAGCAGCAAAGCAACTAGATATGTACAAGAGAACTCCCACAAGACTATCAACTGACTTTTCAGCTGAAACTGCAGGCTAGAAGGGGGTGGCATGATATATTTAAAGTGATGAAAGGAAAAAACCTACAGTCAAGTACTTTCCCCAGTAAAGCTATCATTCAGATTTGAAGGAGATTTAAAAGGTTTTACAGATAAGTAAAAGCTACAAGAGTTCAGCACCACTAAACCAGCTTTATAAGAAATGTTCAAGGGACTTCTCTAATCGGAAAAGAGAAGACCACAACTAGAAATATGAAAATTACAGAAGGAAAAAATCTCTTTGGTGAAGGCAAATATACAGTAAAAATAGGAAATCAACCACTTATAAAGCTAGAAGGAAGGTTAAAAGACAAACTAGTAAAATCATCTATGTGCATAAGGGATATACAAAACAAAAAGATGTAAAATATGTCAAAAACATTTGAGGGAGAGAGTAAAAATGCATGGTTGTTAGAATGCCTTCAAACTTAAGAGAACATCAACTTAAAAGAAAAAAATATATATGGGTTGCTGTATATAAACCTCATGGTGACCACAAACCGAAAATCTGCAATAGAAAAAAGAGAAAGGAGTCCAAAACTATCACTAAAGATAGTTATCAAATTACAAGGAAAGAGAGCAAAAGAAGAAAAAGGAACAAAAAAGAGCAACAAATACCCAGAGAACAGTTACCTAAATGGCCATAAGTACATATCTATCAATAATTACTTTGGATGTAAATGGACTAAGTACTCCAATCAAAAGACATAGAGTAGCTGAATGGATACAAAAACAAAACATGTATACATGCTGTCTAAAAGAGACTCACTTCAGATCTGACTGACTGAAAGTGAGGGGGTGAAAAAAGGTATTCCGTGCAAATGGAAACAAAAAGAAAGGTGGGGTATTTATATTTATATCAGATAAAATATTTATATCAGATAAAATAGATCTTAAAACAAAGACCGTAACAAGAGACAAAGGACATTACATAATGATAAAGGGATCAATCCATATTTATATCACATAAATATTTATATCAGATATTTATATCTGATATTTATATTTATATCAGATCAAATATTTATATTTATATCAGATAAAATAGGTCTTAAAGACCGTAACAAGAGACAAAGGACATTACATAATGATAAAGGGATCAATCCAAAAAGAAGATAGAACAGTTGTAAATATATATGCACTCAATGTAGGAGCTCCTAAATACATAAAGCAAATGTTAACAAACAAAAAGGGAGAGGGACTTCCCTGGTGGTCCAGTGGTTAAGACTCCGCGCTCCCAGTGAAGGGGATGTGGGTTCAATGCCTGGTTGGGAAACTAAGATTCCACATGCCACATCGTATGGCAGGAAAAAAAAAAAAAAGGGAGGGGGAGAAATCGACAGTAACACAATATTAGTATGGGACTTTAACACCCCATTTACATCAATAGACAGATCCTCCAGACAGAAAGTCAATAAAGAAACACTGGCATTAAATGACACATTAGACCGGATGGACTTTATATGTTTTATATATATAACATTCCATCCAAAAGCAGAATACACATTATTTTCAAGTGCACATGGAACATTCTTCAGGATAGATCACATGCTAGGCCACAAAACAAGTCTCAATTTAAGAAGATTGAAATCGTATCAAGCATCTTTTCCAACCAGAAGGGTATGACACATGGAGGCTAAGCAATATGCTACTCAGCAAACAGTGGATCACTAAAGAAATCAGAGGAAACTGAAAAATATCTGGAGATGAATGAAAATGGAAACACAACAATTCAAAATCTATGGGATGCAGCAAAAACAGTTCTTAGAGGGAAATGCTAGATTCTAATGATACAAGCCTACCCCAGGAAACAAGAAAAATCCCAAATAAACAACCTAACCTTATACCTAAAGGAACTAGAAAAAGAAGAACAAGCAAAACCCAAAGTTAGTAGAAGGAAAGAAAAAATAAAAATCAGAGCAGAAGTAAATGAAATAGACACTAAAAATAAATAAATAAAAAGGAAACATCAGTGAAACTAAAAGCTGGTTCTATGAAAAGTTAAAAAAAATTGATAAACTTTTAGCCACACTCATCAAGAAAAAAGAGAGTGACCAAATAAATAAAAGGAAAAAGGAAAAGTTACCACTAACAACACAGAAATACAAATGATCATAAGAGACTACTATGAATAATTACAGTATATGCCAGTAAAAAGGACAACCTAGAAGAAATGGATAAATTCGTAGAAACATCCAATCTCCCAAGACTGAGTCAGGAAGAAATAGAAAATATGAACAGACCAAATTGAATCAGTAATTTAAAAGCTCCCTACAAACAGGAATTCAGTACCAGATGGCTTCATAGGTCAATTCTACAAAACATATAAAGAAGAGCAAACACTGGTCCTTCTCAAACTGTTTCAAAAAATTGAAGAGGAAGGAACACTTCTGAACTCATTCTATGAAGCCAGCATCACCCTGATACCAAAACCTGACAAAGACACCACAAAAAAAGAAAATTACAGGTCAGTATCACTGATGAACATAAAGCAAAATACTCAACAAAGTATTAGCACATCTAATTCAACAACACATTAAAAGGATCATACACCATGATCATGTGGGATTTATCCCAGGGATGCAGTGATGGTTCAGTATCCACAAATCAATCAGTGTGATATACCACATTAACAAACTAAAGAATGGAAAGTATGTGGTTATCTGAATAGATACAAAAAAACTTTTGACAAAATGCAATCCATCTATGATAAAAATTCTCAACAAAGTGGTTACAGAGGGAACATACGTCAACATAATAAAGGCCATCTGTTACAAGCCTTCCAGTAATATCCTACTCAATAGTGAAAAGCTAAAAGCATTTCTTCTAAGATCAAGAAGATAAGGATGCCTACTTTTATTAAACATAGTATTGGAAGTCCTAGCAACAGCAATCAGACAAGAAAGTAAAATCAATGGCATCCAAATTGGAAAGAAGTAAAATTGTCACTGTTTACAGATGACATAATACAATATAGAGAAAATCCAAAGGATACCACAAAAAGCTATTAGAACTGATCAGTGAATTCAGGAAAGTTGCAGGGTACAAAATCAGTACACAGAAATCTGTTGTGTTTCTATACACTAAAAACGAGCTATAAGAAATCAGAATTAAGAAAACAATCCCATTAACAATTGCATCAAAAAGAATGAAATACCTAGGAATAAATCTCACAAAGGAGGTAAAAGACCTATACTTAGAAAACTGTAAGACACTGATGAAAGAAATTGCAGACAACAGAAACAAATGGAAAGATATACCATGCTCATGGGTTGGAAGAATTCATATTATTAAAATGACTAAGAAAGAGGAAATGCTTATAAATAAAACCATTTTTGTACTGTGATTTACCAAAGGTTCTTTAAGTTACCTTTCTTCCTCCATTAACCTCTATGGGCTTGGATCTGTTCTTCTGTCTCAGAGAATCAGTTTCCTTTCAGATGCTTCCATTTTTCAAGCAGGAGGACTGTGAACTTTGCAAGAACTGTCTCTACAGGTGTTAACTCTTCTGGAAACTAGAGTTGTAAGAAGAGACTAACTGGTGTCAAAGCATGAGAAAGGAAGTGCTAGGAATAATTCTACTTTGGCAGTATAAGCAAAGAATAGATGTTCTATTCCCTGAGTTTTCTCACATTCTTTCAGTTTGAACCTTAATTTTTTTGTGTTAGAATTTTTAAAATATCAAAAATTAACATGATGTCACTGAAGAAAAGTGATAAATGCAGATAAGCAGGAAAAAAATGAAAATCACTCAAAATTCTAGCACCCAGAGAATACCACTGTTTACATTTTGTTTTATAGCCTTTGACCCATATCCATATATTTCTATTGAATATGTAATATATATATGTTCCTTGAGTATAATATATACATATTATATATATATATTGTATATAGAGAGGGAAAATTTATATTGCTTTCTCTTTCGTAACAAATATTTTAACTGTATAATGCTCTGTCACTAGCTTTTTTTTTCAACTTTAGATGAAATGTTATATCTGAAAGTCTCCTGTCCTCTTAAAAATCAAACTATTTTAAGACAGAACAATAGGCAATTATACTTACGTGTTTCAGGAACTTTAAAGGATCTTACATATTATCATTTTTGTGTTTGAAAATATACTTCTGCAGCTCTAGAATTATATGAACCTGAAGAGTTATGTAATTCTGTTACTTTTGGGGTATTTTGGTTGAAAGTTGGATTCCTCCAATAAAATGTTTCTTGTCTTGTAGTTAAAATATACTCGTCCTGGGCTACCGACCTTCAGCCAGGAAGTACTACACAAATGGAAGTCAGATATCAAGAAGTATCATCGCATTCAGTGTCCTAACCAGGTGGTTCTTTCTCATTCATTTATTCACTAAATGTTGATCAAGCATCTGCTGTTTGTTTCAGTTATTTATTCCTTTGTGACAAAACACCTGAACTTTAGAGGCTTAAAACATCAATTACTTTGTTAACGATTCTGTAAAGCAACAATTCTGTCGAGGCTCAGAGGGCAGTTGTATATGGCACCAGCTGGAATCATTCACGGGTTGCATTCTGCTGGAAGCTCTGATGGGGCCTGAATGTCAGGTGGCTTCTAAGCAGCTACTTCAGCTGGGAGATGGATTGTCCATATGGCCTCTCTCTCTTGCATGGTAGTGGCGTACATGGTGACTGAATTCTCAGACAGAGTATTCCAAGAACATAAAAGCAACAGCTCAGATCTCTTAGGCCTAGCTTCAGAATTTGTTCAGCCTCATTTCCATAGCATTCTGTTGGTCAAAAAAATCATAGGACTTACCCAGTTTCAAAGGGAGGGTAAATGACTCAATTCTTGATGGGAAGAGTGGCAGAGAATTTCCAGCCATCATTAATCTACTACAGCTGTATATGCAGTACTTTGGGGAGGAGTAGATATATAAGAAGTAAGAGACACATTTGCACTAAAGAAAGCTGATTTTTGGAAAAACCTGAGCATACAATTTTTTGTATTTTTGTAAGTATCAGAAAAGTACTAGGGAACAGAGTGTTTTAAGCTTTTTTAAACAACTTTTTTACCTCTTTTTCTTTTACCTTTCCTTGGTTTTCTTTTTGTTCTTTGGCTTACATATTTTTCTGTGTGGTTTGTGGTGCAATTTATTGGGTTTCTTCCCCCCTCCCTCCCCCCCACAAGGGTACAGTGGGTTAGTGTAAATGGCCAGATTGCTAGGAAAAGGATGCTGTTTGGTGTGGTCTTCACATGATTTCTTTTTCTCTTTTTCAGGGCTGTGAGGCTGTCTACAGTAGTGTATCTGGCCTTAAAGCTCACCTGGGCTCTTGTACATTGGTTTGTAACGTTCTGAACTATTTATCTTAATGTGACCTCTAAAATAGTCTGACATGGAATAGAATTCAGATTCGGTGAACAGCTAGTTGTCCTGTTTGCTATTATCTTCAAAGGCTGGTTTAGTTTAGTTTTGGTTTTTTTTGTCCCAAAGATCCTCAGTCTGTTAATTGGGTGGGATGCCAGGGTATGTCCAAGATGCAGAATGGGCCAAAATAGCCATAAGTCATGTCAATGAAAAAATCTGGAGAAAAATATATAGTTCCGAGTCTCTACCAGGGATTTAACTTCTTCCACCTGAGCGTCTACCACACTGGGCCTGCCCTGTCTTATTGGGCCTTCAACTTCCTAGAATCAACTTACATTGTGCTTATCTGGATTGGTGAAGATCCTCAAACCCATCTGAACTATTCTGGCTTCTGGGGATGGGAGGTGCGATCCCTGGGTGTTAGGCTAACAGCCATTCACCTCACTGAATCTTTTCCATGTTGACCCCAGTGCCCTGCAACCTACCAGTCATGGGGATGGCTGCCACTTTCCATCCCCATTCAGAAGTATCTCCTCACACAAAATAAGCACCATGGAAACCTGAAGCTTCAGGAGCGGAGAGAAGTCTCAGTCAAGGCAACAAGGGAGTTGGAGACATCCAAACCAGATCTGTCCAGGAGTGCTTAGGAGTTCGTCATCTTGATCCTAGTTTCTGAGTCATTCAGCTAGATCTTATGGAGGGTACTCTTCTAATTCTGGATTCCTAAGGCACTCTTTGCGGCAGTGGATTGATTCTAGTGGGAAGAATTGCACATTGGTGCCTCACTGAACTTAAGGAGTTTGATAATTTGAGGGGAGGAACCAAGAGAACCTGGAAGTGAAGTGGAAGACCTAAGGGAAGATAGAAAAACGTGACATGTTACATAATAAAATTAGGGGAACTTCAGGTTGTGTTGGGGAGGGTCAGTGGGGTCAGTGTTTGGTATAGCGTTGCACTGGGATAGATGTGTTATGGTCATAGTATGCCCAAACTTGTCTTCCTAAGTATAGTGATATTTCGGATTTTCTTCCTTCTTCACTTTGCTGAGGTAGTATCTCCTCTTTTCATCTCTGACAGTCCCTACCCATTGCCCAGGTATGTGTTCCTGAATTTACCCTTCTCTTTCTTTCTTTCTTGAAAATAGGGAACCTTTGTGGCTGGAAAATACAAGTGTCTTCTATGTCAAAAAGAATTTGTGTCAGAGAGTGGTGTCAAGTATCACATCAACTCTGTCCACGCTGAGGTGAGGTTTCTCCTTTCCCACAGTGTTTTTATAATCTTGTGGACCCCATGAATATGCCACAAGGGACGTGAATTTTGTGCCTGTTATTATGGGCTAAGACTGTCAGAGAGACTAAAGGGTCTACATTAGAGTTTAAAAACTTCCTAAAATTAGGCGTGTAATAGAATTTTTCTATGAAAGCATTTAAAGTCACTGGGGGTGTGAGCATCCCTAACTCTTCTCATTACCTTAAGTCCAATTAAATCAGACATTTGGGAACCAGGCTGCATTTACACCTTTGGAATTCTTGTTTCACAGCAATGTCTGTGCTCCTGTTTTCTGGTATTCCAACATCTTTGAGCAACCTGTTGTGAATATTGTTGAAATACCATATAGAAACAATGTAAAAGATGTTATTGAGACAATTGAGGCAACTTGAATACTAGCTGTACTACTAAGTAATAGTAATGTGTCAATGTTAATATTCCAAAATGTGATAATTGTGTTGTAGTTTTGCAGGGGAATGCACTTGTTCTTAGGCAGGTACATGATGATGTTTTTAGGGATGAAGTTTCATGTCTGTAGCTAAATTGTGAATGGTTCAGAGGAAGGGAGGGAGGGAGGGAAGAAGGGGAAGAGAGATTAACAATGGTCAATCTAGGTGTTCATTGAACTATTGTGACTTTTCTGGAAAGTTTGTAAATTTTCAAAATTAAAAAATTCTGTTAAAAATGCTTTAAGTTCAGAAGGTCAAGAGTTTTCTCTTGGGGAAAGTTTTTAGGAGTCCAGGTGAACAGAGAAATTCTCTACTATATAATTAAATACCCTTATTGCAAAAGCTCAAGGAGTAGAGTGTGCATTCTCTTGGAATATTTTACTGCAGATACTGTTGCCTGGTGAGGAAAAATAGCAAGTGCCTGCGGCTGTCCTCTGCCCTAAGATGCAATAGTTCTTAGCAGTGTGGGCTTTAGTTAGTGTCATCCATTGTGGTTCCTGTTGCTTTACTGGTTGAAGCTTTGGGAATCCCTTTCCATATCTGAGATTTCTTCAGGAAGGCAGTCTTTTTTTTTTAAATAATATTACCTTTCTATGCTTTGGGAAGTATTTGAAAGATAATTATCTCCTGACAAAATCTGGCCTTTGTATAGTTCACTTGTTTCTCCAGTTTCTGTTTCAAAAGTTGGAACCAACAAATTTCACTTAGTTTGGGACTTGCTCCCAAGTATTTGTTCAATAATTTATGCCTGTATTTATGAAATCCTTATGGTGTTAAACGTGTTTACCTTGTTCCTCCCTTTCTGCCTCACTTTATTTTTTTTAATTATATTTATTTTTTTGGCTGCATTCAGTCTTTGTTGCTGCACGCAGGCTTTCTCTTGTTGCGGAGAGCTGTGTGCGGGCTTCTCATTGTGGTGGCTTCTCTTGTTGTGGAGCATGGGCTCTAGGCTCCTGGGCTTCAGTAGTTGCAGCATGTGGGCTCAGTAGTTGTGGCACATGGGCTCAGTAGTTGTGGCTCGCGGGCTCTAGAGTGCAGGCTCAGTAGTTGTGGTGCACGGGCTTAGTTGCTCCGCGGCATGTGGGATCTTCCCAGACCAAGGCTCGAACCCATATCCCCTGCCTTGGCAGGTGGATTCTTAACCACTGCGCCACCAGGGAAGTCCCTAACCCTTAATTTTTTAAACTGAGACTCAGAGAGGTTAAGTTAATTTTCTGATGGTCACATGGCTAGAAACAGAGCTAGGATTTGCACCCAGGTGGTCTGGCTGCAAAATTCATGCTTTAACCACTACACTGTCATGAAATAAAAATCTCCTATGGCTCAGTGCTTTACATCTCATGAGAAGGTTTCTTAAAGGTGAGGAGTGGGTGGGATCATGCTAAGTAATCAGTAGTACCCGAAATCATGTCTTACACAAGAAATGCTTGTAATGACTGCTCTGTAGTGAATTTCTCCAGTTTAAAAGACACAGTTCTAAGCTCTGGTTCCATATCTGTTTCCTCTTTACTGTGTTCTGTCCTAATCATGCCTTTAAAAAAAATCTTCCCATACCACTTTCTAGTGCACTATATTTTGACTGGGTAATGTTTCTGTTTTGCCTCTGTAGGATTGGTTTGTTGTAAACCCAACAACGACCAAAAGCTTTGAGAAGCTGATGAAGATAAAACAGCGACAGCAAGAAGAAGAAAAGCGGAGGCAGCAGCACAGGAGCCGAAGGTCTCTAAGAAGGCGGCAGCAGCCTGGCATTGAGCTTCCTGAGACAGAGCTGAGTCTTAGAGTAGGGAAGGATCAGAGGAGGAGTCATGAGGAACTGCTCGTGGCAACGTCCTGTAAAGAACCAGAGCAGGAGCCAGTGCCAACACAGTTCCAGAAAGTCAAGCCCCCAAAGACGAATCATAAACGAGGAAAGAAATAGGCAGTCAGTGTGAAAGCACTCCTGGGAGAGTGGATGGGATGCTGTGGTCACAGGGACCTGTGTGGAGAGGCCTGAGTCACGGGGGCCAAGTGAAGAGAAATTTACTCTTTCAGCTGTTTGTGTAAGGCTGTGGCGCTCTCAGCTCCTTCCTCCTGTGTAAATTTCAGTGTTTTCCCTATTGATTCACTTGGACCCTCCACCACCCACACCCCCATCTCCTTTTTGGTAGATTTTCCTGCTATTCTCATTGGAGTCCTCCTATTTTTCTCTTATCTTGCCCAAAGAGCTCCTCCTTAAGGCCCACTATAAGGCCTTCTTGCCCCATACAAGACTAAGAAACCTGTTTGATTATCCTTTCCATACTGGGATGTAGAATGTTCTTGGAAGCTCCATTGATTTCGTAGTCACTCCATCATCTTATAAAACGATTCCAAACTAACTCTTTAAAACCATACTGATTTATCATTTTGTATTTGTGATATAACAAGCCTAGAACCTAGAACTGTTGTCACTCCTTTAATAAGGTTCCCCCGTCTGCTTGGGTGACATAATTTATGGAGGCTCTTTGTTGTCTCAATATGGTTTTAGGATTGAAAGTGAGAAAATAGATTTAGAATAAAAAAGCTAGACCCTCCGGACACAGGTTTTCCTAGGAAATGCTTTGTTTGTCCCAGGTGGCAGTAAGTAACTAGACCCACACACATGAAATGCAGCCTTAGGAGGAATGTGTCCCACACATAAGACGACTGGAAAGAAGAAAGTAGCAGCAAAAATAAATACCACCTCAACTTCCCTGGGTGTGAGGCCTCATCTGTTGTTATGACCAGTGCCCTCCTGCAGCTTGTCTTGCTCCCGAAGTTTTGAGGATTGAAAGAGAAATAAACCCTTTTGCTCCTGATGTTTGACACAGAACCCTAATATTGCTGGTACTCCTGTGAAGATTGGTAGCCAAGGTGCACATTCCTTCTCCCCTGGACTTGACCTGACTTGTTAGTCTGCACTCTGTTAAGTCCTCGTGTCTCTCTTTAGCCAAAGTCTGTCTCTTTGAATTTTCTGAGAATATTGTCCTCTACCTTCTTTTTTAGATGTTGTGTTCTGTCCTTTTTATAACCTGAGACTTTGACACCAGGTGTAGATATTTATCTGGAGTTGGAAAGAAAAGTTCTTTTTCTGAACCTCATGCCTACCTGATAGTATCTGTTAGCCTGTTTCTCTTTGATGCTGGCTTTCCCTGGAGCATTGGTTAGAGCAGCTCTGTTGTCGTATTCCTGGATTCTCCTCCCCTTTCCCATAAATATTGGTCTTCTATATTCTTGCCAATTTTTGTGGCTTACGCCACATAAAAAGCCAGGGACCCTTAACCCTAATATGGACCAATACTGCCTTTTCAAATTCTGAAAGGCTGTTACCACTTTTAACTCTGTTCTCTGTGCTCCTCCATATAGCCTTAAAATGTGGGCTTTTGTGAAGACCACTTTCAAACATGGGAGCATTGAAACCTGATTGGGATACTGCCAGAACGGGTAGTTTTGCAACAAGGGAAGGACGTGGTCTGTCCACTCGACATTGTCATTGGCAGTTGCTCCCTTAAAGCCCTTTCCATACATGAGGATTGTCAGGGAGGAAAATGGAGAAGCTCTGTTAATTTCTGGTAAGACTTGGGGAATGTTTGGCAATGGCAAGAAAAATAAATGACTCTGTGTTAGAATGATGTTTTCCATTGTTCATTGACTCCAACGTGCTACCTGTCTCCTTGCTGACACAGTGTGTCTGGGGAAGATAACGACTAGAGATGGGAATGAGTTTGGAAGAAGCAACACGTACAGTTGTGTCAGTAGTTCTTTAGGCCCTGAAATATGCTGGTTCAAATGAATCCACTCATACCTTGCTTTACTGCTCTTCCTCTTACAGATAGCGATTTTAATTAAAGTATGTACATTGTTGTTTTAGACATAATGGTATTGTACACTTCAAATAGACTACAATATAATATAAACATACCTTTTATATGCACTGGGAAACTGAAAAATTCATGTGACTTGCTTTATTGTGAAATTTACTTTATTGTGGTGGTCTACACCCAAACCCCCAATAACAGATGTGTGCCTGTAATTGGTTTGAGATTAAACTTGTCCAGTTTCATCCAGGGCCCTTGCAGGTGATCCTTTTATTTTTCCTGTCTGAGCCAAGGATCAGTAGGACTCACTAGAGATGATCCTAAATATATTAATTGAATTAAGATTTTTAACCAAATTCATTAGAATAATATTTATTGAAGTTGAGCGGTATCAGGTTTAGCTAGATTTTGGAGCAATGTGAACTCCCTGCACTTTGGAATGGACATTGGGTACAATCAATTTAAAAACTAATTGGCAGGATCTCTTAAAATTGAAGATATGCCCTGAGACTCAGTAATTTCACTCCTACGGCTATACAAACTACTCCTGGTCAGGTGTTCTACTAGACATCTACAAGACTGATGTTGCAGTCTGATGTCCAATATGTACTGGAAACATCCTGTACCAGAGACTACTGGCTGTCCAGCAAAATTGGCTTTACCTTGCAGAATTATAGGATTATAGGAGAAATGGCTAGACTGCACTTCCAGCCCTCCAGCCAATTCCCCTGTAGTGATGGGGTAGCCAACTAACTTCTCTCTGGTGGAATGTGAGTGCGAGTGATGTGTGTCAATTCCATGCCAGGACTTTTAAGAGAGCGAGTGTACCTCCATGCTTTCTTTCCCCTTCTTCTGGCTAGATGCAGTTGATAAGGCAGCTCTAGGTCATGGTAGACCATAACATGGAAGATATTGATTCCCTGAATGACCCTAAGAAAGACTATTTGCCAATCAGGATGATCTCTCTGACACTATTGTATGAGCAAAAAATAAGTGCCTTTTCTTTGAGTCATGATATAATCTTGGGTCTCTTCCTGAGCCTAGTCTCTTACATAAACTACTTGTCCATTATCAGGAGAAAATGGGTAAGTTGTGGTAATCATCCTGAGGAATACTATACAGCTGTCAGAAGAACCAGGTCTTCTTTTTTAAAAAATTAGCATTTGTTTAATAGCAGGTTTTAAAGCACTTTTTCCCTCACATCTCTTTAAAACAACTGATTCATTCAACCAAGAGACACAGAAAACCTTTACGTGACTCAGTGGGTAAGTCATCGGGGGAGAGGATCTGGGTCTCTGCATGCCACTTGAGGTAGTGGATTTCTTCCTAAGGCAACGGGGACAGCTAGGGGAGTGTCAGGTGGGGGGTGATACCACCAGATGTGAACTGAGATGATGGATGGGGCTGCCCCTCTGCAGCAGCATGCAGGACGGGCTGGATTTTCCATTTCAGTCAGGTAACCTTACCCCTTTAACACTACCCCAAGAACCAGGTCTTGTATCATCATGAATACAGCTCCAAAATAAAGTCTGGGAAAGCAAGTTATAGAATACATCAAAAGTCCCATCTGTGGAAGGTTTAAAAACATGGAAAAACAATGCTCTATTGTTTATGGATACATAGAAATAAAAGTATATAAACTATATAAATATGGTACCTATATTTTAATAAAATATAGAAAAGATAGCAGGAAACCATGCACAGTCATGATAAACATCAACTTTAGATAATGCTTCTGGGATCCAGAGGGACAAGTGAATGGTAAGTTTTTATTTTTTCAAGTGGATGGTGAGTTTGTTATACTTTTCTATATCTTTTGCTGTGTCTGAAATGCTTCATTTTAAAAATCTGTTCAGGCACTTCCCTGGTGGTCCAGTGGTTAAGACTCTGTGCTTCCGCTGCAGGGGGCATGAGTTCAATCCCTGGTCTGGGAAGAAAGATCCTGCAAGCCGCGTGTTGTGGCCGAAAAGAAAAGGTTCACACAAACAAGAAAGAAAAAATACTCTGTCCACCTCCTTCTTCAAAAGGAACAGTACTTCTGCTTCCTCTTCCCCTCACACTAAGAATCAGCTCCCCCCCATGTCTTCTGTTCACCTCCATGTTTGCCATTCCATTCCCACAGTCATCACCTCTTGCCTTTTCAAGAGCTTCCTAACTGGATTCTTTCTGCTTTTCACTGGCTTGGTACACTCCGCATACTGCTGTAGTGAGTTTATACTGTAAATCAACCTCGTTCACTTGCTTAAAGCCTAGTGATTTCCCAATGCACTTAGAATAAAAGTCATCCCCTTTACCTTGTCCTACAAGGCCTGCCTACTCTATTAACCTTTTTAGCCTCATCCGCCTCTGCTCTGTCCGTGTTCGCTGCCATTCCCCAACTACACTTAGCCACACTGACTCTTCTGTTCCTTAATCCTACTAAACTCCTTCCCATCTTAGGGCCTTTGCATTCACTGTTCCCTCTGTCCGGAATGTCTTCTTCCCCAATTTTTGTACATCAGGCTTCATGTCGTCGTTCAAGTCTTAACCTAAATTTCACCTCAGAGGTCTTTTCCATCTAAATGCACTTTCTGTAACATCACCCTCTTTCCTTTCCAGCACAGGAAAGCAGACAAAAAGTAGACTGAGATCCACGTTGGCCAAACCTACTGCTGGCTTGCTGACGGGAATTTCTAAGGGCCTTTATCAACAAGAGTCCCCAACCCCTGGGCTGCAGACCGGTGCACGGCCTGTTAGGAACTGGGCCGCACAGCAGGGGGTGAGCAGCGGGGCGAGCGAGCAAAGCTTCCTCTGCCGCTGCCCATCGCTTCCCATCGCTCGCATTACCGCCTGAACCCTCCCCTCCCCCCCCAACCCCACCCCCGTCCGCGGAAAAATTGTCTGCCACGAAACCGGTCCCTCGTGCCAAAAAGGTTGGTGACCAATGCTTTATCAGATGACTCACCCTTTAAAGTCTTCAAGCCCTCAGAGGCCTCACAAAGGGACAGCCAGAAGCAGAACACCAGATCAGATCCATTATCTGGGATGAGGAATTCAAAATAAACTGAGACAGGGTGGAAGTTATTCACTCCTGAATTAATTCATCTGGACAGCACTGGCAGGAGGCGGAATTAACAGCAGATTAATAAGATTACCCATTCCTCTTTCCAGCTCCTTATCCTTAGTTTTATATCTTCCTATGGTTTTTGCATCGACAGAGAATAACGGTTTCGAATGTGTCTTGGATACCATATTTTTAAACAGGCTCTCTGTATTTTCAGCTCCACTGAATAGAACTATTCAGGTTAAGGCAACTGTGTGCTACCTAACATTCTACTTTGTGCACTAAAACTGCATTTTTATTATGTGCACACTAGTATGAAGAAGACATGCAGAGTTGATAAGACGTGAGAAGAGAGGTAAGTAGAAGGTACATTACATTGGAACAATAATGAAATCAGTGGGTGTATTATAATCTGAGTTTATTTTCAATAACAACAAAATTTTAAGAACCAAGACATTACATATTTAACAGAAAAGCTGTTAAAGCTAGAAGTTAAGGCACACTGAGGCAAAATCCTTTTCTGAATCTAATTGTACAAGAATTAGTTTTACATATGAATAAAACTGAAATCTGGGAAAACCATTATGAACTTTTTCATCACTGACAATTTCTTGAAAACATTAAGTTGATTCTGTTTTTCCATAAAGGAGCAACATTAAAAGGCTGCATTTCTGTACCAGGATTCAGCAAAGAAATCCCTGATCTGACCATCAGTATGTCCTAAGTGCCAAAAATACAACTACCCTAAAAGTCTATATGAATTTAAAATACTATTCCTAGTTCTACTGAAGGGGCATAAAGAGGGTACACATGGATAACAAAACGCATTTCAAGGACTAGGAAGTGCTTATGCAGTAAAAACGTAATAAAGTGACCTAAAGCTAAAGTGCTCACTCTATCGAAACTCCAGTCATCTTTGTCATCTTAGAAATTGAGGATGTTGCCTGGGAAAGAGATGGCAAAAGACTCTTTAGAAAGTTCTCCAAATATATGAAAACTTTCTTTTGATACGTTTTCCTAAAACAGGCAGAAGCACTCAGTCACCTCATTCAGGCTAGAGGTATTTCTCCACAGAAAACTGACCAGGTATACATACCCTCTATCTTCTCTTCCCTTCACACAGTTTACACAAAGCAGAAATGGTATGGGCTGAGCATCAGACAGAAGGTTACTCTGCCTAAGGCTTATTACACTTGCTGTTAAGAGTTTTTCAATCATGAGAAAACTCTAGAAGCAGCTACCTGGTCACCAGCACAAACTTTACAAAGAGCTTAAAAACACTGTGTGCTAAGGTGGCCAAAGAAGTGAGGATACATGGACATTGGTTCTTTACAGAGCAGAAAGCAGAATATAACAACCTGAAATGCTATTCTTCAGGGGGCTTTTTCTATAAAGAAACCTAACTTAGCTAGGTGAAACACACCACACAACTATTTTCCTGTCACTTCTGCAAGGTGGTTTTCTTGAGGTAGTTTCACATCTGGGTTTTTGGCAAATGGTACTGGGTTATCTGGAGGTGTGAGGAACAGCCCATTTATTACCAAGAGCTAATTAAAGAAAAACCTAACTTTAAGGGAAGCCAGTCCCACACATAATCTAGCAGTACTGCTGGAGAAAAGCACCTAATCCTTCACACTAACACATCGTGATGGATATTTAACCACAGCACCCTGAGATCCCAAAGCCTTCCTAACCTGGTTTATGTTATGTAGCACCTAAGAACCCTTGCTCCATTCCTGACTTCATGTTATTTTAGGAATTACTTTGGATGCGTCCTTGATTTGGTGCCTAGGGCAGGGCTCAGCGTAGTCTTTGGAGCACCTTGTCCTTTTGGGCACGGATTACGCCTTTCTTGCAGCCGTTGCCTCCCCCGGCTTAAGCACTCTAGGTACCAATGCTCCTGCTGCAGCTGCTGCTGCTTCTTTTTTAAACAGCTGTGAGTAGCCTCCAACTTCTGGCATTTCTGAATTAGCTGTGGTAGTTCCTTCTGTAACTGCTGGTGCTGTCTGTCGATGTTACTGTGGAACTCGGAAGTGTACTGTTTTGCTGCCCTCTCCAAGGCCTTGTTCTTGCTGTTCAGCTCCTTTGTTGGTCTCTTTCCCAACTGCCTTGCATCTAGCTCACTCAGTTGTGCCTCCAGTAATGCTTTATCCTGGAAGAACTGGACCAGCATGGCCTGTTTCTTTGCAGCTGTCTCAGCGTGGGTTTTCTTTATCTCCTGCTGTAGTGTCTGAATTTCTCTCTCCTGTTTCTCCTTTACTATCGAAACGTCCCTCATTGCCTCCAACTGCTTATTCAAATTGGATAGGATCTTTTCTTTCTGCAAGAGCTCTGTTTTAAGCGCTGAATTTTTTCCCGCATATTTGGAGGTTAATTCTTGTCTCCTTTGTTCAATCTGCCCACTTTGTTGTAAATAGTAGTTCCACAGCTTCTCGGTTCGCTGTCTAGACTCCTTTGTTTGCTTGGTCAGGTATTCCAGAAAGAACTGGTTTTCCTCCTCGACACGTACGTTTTCCGCCAGCAGCTGCCTGGTTTCCTCCACTAACGGTTCTAGTCGAATTTGAGTTTCTTTGATTTGCTTGTCTAGCTTCATCATTTCCTCTACTGCCTTTTCTTTAAACCTCTTCTCTGCCTTTGTTAGCTTCTCTGGCTTGAGAAAATTTATAAAACTAAGATCCGGTTGAAGGGAATTACTGGAGTCCTCAGCCAACCTGAAGGAAGAACAAGAGAGACATCCCCCCATGTTTTTCACAAAAAATTAGGAAATAATTTAAAAAATGCACACGTACTTTAATTCATATCCCAACTCTTTGGGAGCACCTACGATGTTCCTCACACAAGGCACGGGGGACAGAGCTAGAGGTAAAGACAAGGGAGTGTAGTTTACAGCTGACAATATGCCGTCTCCACAACCCTGCGAGGTAGTATCTCGAGGGTAAAGAGGAGAAAACAGGTTCAGAGAACTGAAGTGACTTGGCCACGATGTACACCTCCAGCGGGTGGCAGAGCCTGGGTCTAAAACCCAGATCTCACGGCTTACTGAACACTACAGCTGCTCCAAAGGGCCACCGCAGCCAACTGGGCGGTCGGGAGTAGGAGTGTATACATGGCTCGGCTCTTTCACCACCTTTCCGTGTACCGAGGGCGCCTGGGTGGAGAGAAGCGCCCCCTCAGTACCTACTTGACAAACTCGGCAACCAAACGTTCCTCCCCAAAGTCACGGTGCACCTTTGCGGAGACCGC